GAGAGTGCCAGTGAGAGGGAACAGCAACTGCAAAGGCTGTGAGTTGGTGAAATGGAGCAGGACCCTATGGTCCTTGCCCTCCATGTCCTCAACCTGTCTTTTGTCTGTGGAAAAACTTTAGCCAAAGGATAAGCTTAATCAGAGAAGTGAGAAAATGCAGAAACAGTCCAACAAGGCTAGATAATAATAGTTTCATCATTAAGCATCGTCAAGGACCTTTAGTTCCTCCTCAAGGGCTGGAGATAATATTCTGAGCCATATCCTGTGAGCTATCTTGAAAATACTGAAACCCCCCAGTTGCCAGCATCTGAAATAAAATAAACTTTCCTTTCCTCCAAGCTTGCTCTTTATTAGCTTTATTGGCTTTTGAGCGGCGAGCAGCCGGACCCCACTTATGGTTACATTTGGACGATGCCTGGTGCATCTGAGGAATAGCAAAGAGGCCAGGATGGCTTGAGTGGAGTGAACCAGTGGAAGAGTAATCGAAGATGAGGTCAGAGAAATAATGGAGTCCAGACTGCGGGGGTGCCTTGTAGGCTATTGTAAGGGCTCTGGCTATACTCTGTGTGAGATGAGAAATCACAGGAGGGTTTTGAGGAGAGGAGAGCCAGAATCACTCTGGTTGCTCTATTGAGAATAGACTGAACGTGGATAAAGGCAGAAGGAGGGAAATCAGTTGGAGGCCAATGTAACAATCCGGGTCAGAAATGATGGTGGTTTGGACCAGGGTAGTAGCAATGGAAGTGGTGAGAAATGGTTGAAGACTGGATGTGCAGTAAACTGCTATAATGTGACAAGTGGGGTTCCATAAATGTCAGCAGGTAAAATACGGGTCTCATCATTGAAATGAGGAGTGTCTGTGCAGCTAGCAGGCTGGAGTTCTCGTCCTGTGTGTGAGGTCCAAATTTGTCTTTGTGATAGCTGGCATATCAAGCCATCATGAGGCGGTGTGGCTTCAGTTTAAGTATTGATGGTGAGGATCCTGAGTGAGGGCAGCGGGGGAGTGGGGGGAGTGGAAGGGAAGGACTGGGTGAACCTTCCAGGATATCAGCAGTGATTCCAGGAGTCTTCCAGTTAGATGGTGCCCAATTACCAAATGGGCAATAGCTATCAGGGAAGATTGGGCTGAAGGAACACCAAAGATTTGGGGTTGATCTGTTGCCTGAAATGGGTTGTCTGCCATTTGTATCTATATTTGCAAAATAATTTTTAACTTGGGAAGTCCTCTAAGATCTAGCCCTTGTCCACCTCTTTGGTTTCATCACATACAGTTCAGTTACTCTATCTCTTTTTAAAAATATCTATTTTCCTTTAGCCTTTTTTTTCTCCTAAAAAACATTGTTTGTTTATTTACTTTATTGAGGTATAACTGACATATAATAAACTGTACTAATTTAAAGTGTGCAATTTGATTTTTTATCATACATGTGCACCCATATGAAACTATCACCAAAATCAAGATAATGGACATATCCATCATCCCCAAGAGTTTCCTTGTGCATCTTTGTAATCCCCTCTTAATACCACTCCCTGTTTCTCCTCTTCTTGCCCTGTTCTAGTACTGATGTACTTTCACTACATATTAACAGTTTCTAGAGTTTTTTACAAATGGAATAATACAATATATGTTCATTTTTGTCTGTTTTCTTTCACTTGGCATAATTACTTGGAGAATCATCCATAATCATTCATGTTTTTCAGAGTTTCAATAGTTAATCGCTTTTATTGCTGAGTAGTATTCCACTATATGGATACACCACAATTTGTTTATCCATTCACTTGTCAATGGACGTTTGGATTTTTTCCAGTTTTTGGCTACCACAAATAAAGCTGCTGTGAACATTTACTTATAAGTCCTCGTGTAGACATGTTTTCACTTCTTCTAGGTAAATACCTAGGAGTGGAGTGGTTGGATCCTGTGGTGTATTAAACTTTTTGAGAAACTGCCCAATTGTTTCCAGAGGGGTTGTATTACCATTTTACATTCCCACCAGCAGTGTACAATAGCTTCAGCTGCCAACCCTTGTTCCTCATCAGCAATCATTATGGTCAATCATTTTAGACACTCTGATATGTGTGTAGCAGTATTTTATTGTGATTTTAATGTGCATTTCTCTAATATCTATCCATTTTCTTGTGCCTATTTGTTACATGTGTAACTTTTTTGGTGAAGTGTCAGTTCAAATCTTTTGCTCATTTTGTTATCAGGTTGTTTTGTTTCTTTTTATTGAGTTTTGAGAGTTCTTTACGTATTCTGAAAAAATATTTTATAGGATATGTAATTTTCAAATATTTTACTTTCTAGGATTTTTAGCTGATTTAGTTTTTGCATTTTTTTCTTTTCATAACTTTTATTTCCTTTTAAAAAAGCTTGATTTTATTATATATTGAGAAAGCAAAATAATATTTTAAAAATATATAAAAGTATAAAAAGCAATAAGACAGCAAACATCTCTATAACTACCATCCAGATAAAAAAATAGAATATTAGCATTACCTTTTGCAATTCCTATATTCTTAGAATAACCATTATCCTATATTTGTGCTTTATTGATATTTTTGTCATCTACGTCTATGTCCCTAATAAAATATTTGTTTATATGTGCACAATTTTGAACAGATTCTGGAAAAAATTTTGTTAGTTTTTTGACTGGAATTTCAATGAATTTAGGAAACAATTAGTGTAGAATTGACATCTTTAAGATACTGAGTTATCTAAGTTGTGAAATATTATGTCTCTATTAATTTAGGTTTTTTATAGTGTCTTTCAATAAGGGCTTCTAATTTTCTCCATTAAATTCCTGAACATGTTTTGTTTGAAACATTCACAGTTATCAGGAAGTACTTTTTCTTTTAGTTGTTAACAGTTTGATTATGCTATGCTATTTGGATTTTCTTTGTGTCTATCCTGCTTGGAGTTCCCTAAGTTTCTTGAGTCTGTAGATTAATGTCTTTCGACAATTTTGGAAAATTTTCAGCCATTATCTTTAAAAAATATTTCTTCCCCATTCTCTCTTTCTTTTTGTTCTGAGACTCCAACTATATATATGTTAGACCATTTGATATTGTCCCATAAGTTTCTCATGCTCTGTTCTAGTCTGCATTTCTTTTTTCTCTCTGTGCTTTGACTGTATTTCCTATTGATCTGTCTTTGAGTTACTGATTCTTTCTTCTACTATGTTCAGTCTGCTGTCAAGCATAACCAATAAATCCTTAATTTTAGATTTTGTATTTTTCAGTTTAAAATGCCCAGTTTATTCTTAGAGATTCCATTTGTGATAGACTGATACACCAGTGATCCCCAGTGAATCATGCCTGCAGTATTCATGTCCCTGTGCAGTTTTTTTTCCATATTGACCCTGGGTCACATGACTTACTTTGGCCAATAGGACTTAAGAAAACATAATAACAGAAGTTTGATAAATGATGCATATTGGGGCTTACCCTCTTAGACCTAGCCATCATGTTAGAAGCCAAGGTTAACTTCCTTGAAATGGGGAGGCCACATGGAGAGAGATGTAGTTACCTCAGTGACCCCAGATGAGAATATCAGAAGAACCACTTAATTAACACACATAATTCTGAGAAATAATGAATAGTTGTTATTTTAATCCACTGAGTTTTAGAGTGCTTTGTAATGCACTGATAGAAAACTGACACACTATTTTTCTGTGTATTGGTTTAAATTATCCTTTCAGTCAATCTTCTCCTCTAATTTCCTTGAAATATTTATAATGGTTATTTAAAGGTTGTCTGTTGCTTCTACAACTAAAGATATAAAGAAGGAAACACAATGAGATGGGTAGGAGGGGTGGAGTCATGGTAGAGTCAACACCCATAGCCCCTGGGGTGGGCGATCCACCAATAGGAGGGTAATTACCACTGCAAGGTTCTCCCCAAGAGCAAGGGATCTGAGTCTCACATCAGGTTCCCCAGCCCAGCAGTCCTTCATCGGGAACATGAGCCCCCAGTATGTTTGGCTTTGAAGGCCAGTGGGGTTTACTTTTGGGACAGCCAGAGCACTGTGGGAAATAGAGACTCCAGTCTTAATGTGTACACACAAAATCACACACACTCTGGGACCTGTGGCAGAAGCAGTAATTTGAAAGGAGCCTGGGTCAGACCCATCTGCTGATCTGAGAGAGCCTCCTGGAGCTCACCCTGGGACACAGACACTGGTGGCAGCCATTTTTGTGAGTTAATCCTAGCATGTGGACACTGGTGCTGGCAAGTGTCATTTTGGAATCCTCCTTCTAGCTCATTAGTTCTTGGAGACCTGGCTCCACCCACTAGCCTTTTGGCACTAGTACTGGGACACCTCAGGTCACGCAACTAGCTGGGCAGGGACACAGCCTCACCCCAGCAGGCCTAACTGCCCTAAGGCTCCCTGAGCCCACAGCTGCCTTGGGACACGGCTCTGTCCATGGACCCCACCCTGCACACCAGTGCACTAGCACTAACCTAGGACCCCAAGAGCCCTGCGGCCAGAGACCCTGGGATCCTGCTCCACTCACCAGTGGGTGGGCACTAACCCTAGGACCCCAGCCCTGGGACTCCCAGATCCTGCAGACAACAAAATGTTTTTAGTTTTTGTTGTGTTTCCACATAGGTAAAAGGAAAATTTTGGAATTTCAAAGCAGTGATTTATTAGATGATAACGAGGTTCCAGAGATTAATAATATAGCTAAAGATAGCTAATAAGAGTACCATAGAATTACTGAGAACAACCTGAGTGAATCTCTGAAAATGAACACATTTATACCTTAAGGTTCTATCTTAAAAAATTCTAAAAACGTAAGGATCCATACGCACACCTTTCATTAGCTGCCAGAATGATGATGTTATTGTGTGTCATGTAGATTCCAGAAAATTTCACACTTGTGAGAAAGTGAGATAAAATGGCAAATAATGTCTTATTATTATAATGAAAATAGTTTTGACTTAATGGACCATCTATAAGAGGACTTCCTGAGAACCGCTGGATAGACTAACAGGCAAACATAGGGGTCAGCCAGAAGTGTTTATTGACAGAGATTGAGAATCCACTGTGGTCAGACTCAGCGTAGCTTCACCTGCCTTTTGATGACTTCAGGTTTCAAGGAACTTAAGCTTTCCATGGAAGGTTTTTTGGCTGGTACTTGGGCTTCACACAGCACATTTTATTATTTGTGCAGTAAACATAGACCCTTTCCTTCCTGAAACATTTCTGGCGGCATTTGCCATGACGATTCCAGCATTTTCGGGTGCTACCTGAAAAGAAAGAAGAACAGAGACAGTGTCAGTCCTAAGAAGAGGTAGATTCTGGATTTGAAATATCTGTAAAAGGATTAGAACAGATGTGATAGAGGGTGCTCAGTTTCCTTTGACTCTGACCCTGGTCTTCTCTTTTATTCCCTTCTTCTCCCTTTTGAAAAATTGTGGTAAAATACAAATAACATAAAGTTTATCAGTTTAAGTATTTTAAAGCGTACAGTCCAGCGGCATTAATTACACTCACAATGTTGTGCAACCATCATCACCGTCTAGTTCCAGAACTTTTTAATCATCCCAAACAGAAACCCTGCACCCATTAAGCGTTTTCATTTCTCCTCTCCTCATCCCTGAGCAACCACCAATATGCCCTCCTCGCTATAGACTTGCCTAATCTAGATATTTTATGCCAATGGAATCATATAATGTGCAGCATTTTGGACCTGGCTTCTTTTTCCTTAGCATAATATTTTCAGCATTCATCTGTACTGTTTTTATAATTAAAAAAATTGAAGCATAGTTGATTTACAATATTGTGTTAGTTTCAGGTGTCCAGCACAGTGCTCGATATTCTTTTCAGATTCTTTTCCCTTATAGGTTATTACAAAATATTGAGTATAGGGCTTCCCTGGTGGCGCAGTGGTTGAGAGTCCGCCTGCCGATGCAGGGGATGCGGGTTCATGCCCCGGTCCGGGAAGATCCCACATGCCGCGGAGCGGCTAGGCCCGTGAGCCA